AACGAGCCCTAGTAATCCTTAACGTTACCTAGTCCTTATTCGCGTGTCACGACGTCATTGGAGATGTGGAATCCACTTACCTTCCATGTCAGCAATTTAACAGAGTTTCTAACGGCAAGATTATTTTGATATGTACTAGGTAACGTTAAGAACTATTAATGTCACAAAAAACAATTAACAACAAAAGGTGATAATTTCGCTAAACTCAGGAACCATTTGCGATAAAACGCCCAAAATAAAATTCAAAAATACAGTACAAAACAAAATTCATAATTAATAATAAAACAGTACAACAATTTGTTGGTTCTTAGTTTTTTTTGTTGATTGAAATAAAGTCTATCGGGGTCCTGCGACCATTTCTCCAAGAGCATACCGCCAAGCCCACTATATAGTTGTGTTCTCACTCTTTACTCTCACCTGAAATCATAACAAATCTATTATTATGAATGAGCGAGTTAAGGTCTCAGTACGTAACTAGACCTATTCCAGAATCGCCACAAAACTAGTAATTCTGGCACTCCTGTTTTAGCCAGTTGCACTCAAACCAAATTTTTTTTTTTTTTTTTTTTTTTGTTTTTTTGACACAGTGCAGGAGGTGAAACAAGGAGTGTTAAAATCACTAGCAGTGGAGGCGAAAAGCATGCTATACAAGTAGCGCCAGTGTCTATACGTATGGTAGGTGGGAAGGAGAAGGGAGAGTGAAAGACAATCATTAAAACAAAATGTGACACTCACATAACCCTTGTGGCAAATCTGCACCATATGGGCTTGACGAGTAAAAAAGCAACAAGGATGACACCCACACCCAGACACAAAGGATTTCTGCATCCATGGAGAAATAAATCTGAACATGATAGAGGTACTAGTACTGTATATATAAAATTCTATATATATATATATATGGTAGAAAGAGCATCATCTATCCTCGTGTGTAGTGTAGAGGAACTAGTGTGTTACCTCATTAGTCTCGTAATGGCATTGTATCCCACGAAAATCAAACAGCCAATTGCCCAAGGAGGTAGTTGAAAACGCGCGTTGGCCTCCTGAAAAGTAAAACAGCATGTTGAATTAATGGACTAGGTATGAGTGTGAGTAAATTAAATTCAGAGAGATTTTTAAGCTGATGAAACGCATCATTCATGAGTAAGTTCATCTAAACCTAAAGAAAACCTGAAACAGACTCTAACCATAGTTCCATAACAGCAGGTGATCAAATAACACATTATGGGAGACAAAACAAAACTATTTATAGTTCACATATAGTTTCCATTTATTAATAGGTGAGATATCATACCTGTTCAGCTATGGCCTTCGAAACAATGTGCTTGGTGTTTTCCTTGAATTCCTCCCACAACTCTTTGCATTTAAGAGGTATGATCAATGTTTTTGATGGTGGAAACTGTATAGGAAGGGGAAAGTCAGAAAACCTTATGCATGGTCTTACAATAGAGAGAGAGAGAGAGAGAGAGAGAGAGCTTGAGGGCCGGCCCAAATTCAATGGGTCAAAGTCCGTTTCGGCCTATACTATAGCCATGGGAGAGCTGGCCTTGCGTGGGGTAAGGATCAGGTCAAGTGTTTAAACTCAAGCCCAATGCGGCCTGGCCTGCACCAGCCCTCTTATTTGTAAATATTTTTCTACTTAATCTAGTATGCGATATCTTTGAATATTAATAAATTAAAGAACACTCTGCACCCAAGTTCGAAACCATCTCCCCGTAATTTAGATTAAAGTATAATATCATTTGTATAAAAAATAATAATAATAAAATTGGATAAAATTGAATATATTAATAAATAAATATCAGTATCTATGTTTTTTGTGTTGTTGAGATTGAGATATCTATCTTTAAAAAAAAAAAAAAAAAAAAAAAAAAAAAAAAAAAAAAGAAAAGAAGGTCACCTCTTCCCAAGTATTTGAAGCCAGTAGGTCAAGTGTTGTGGTACTCGTATCTTTATCCAGCAAGGCACTGTTTAAAGTAGCCTGAATTTTATCAACATCATCATCACCATCCAAAAGGATCACAGCCATAACAGAAAGCACTTCTAGGGACTGAAAAAATTACAGAACATGAATATATATAGTTAACAAAGCTTCAGTTCAAATTCAAACTCTCAAGAACTGTCAATAAAAATGGATAAAAATTGAGCCATACTGAAGAATGAGCAGTTCTGGCGATCTCTCCAATATTTTCCCGCCAGCTCCAAACACGTGGGATTGAATTAGAATCGTAGCTAAATTTTGTTATAAACCTGTAAAGGCAATTCAAATATCAATTGCATACAATAAAATCTTAAATAACGTTCAAACCATTGTGTGAGAGAGAATTCCCTACCTCTCCTTCATGTGGATGAGGACCCTTCGAGCCTCTTCCTTTGCTTTATCTTCAACCATAAGTCTTATATATTTCTCTAGACTTGCATCTATTTTGGCTTTGGCTTGTTCATCCATGTCAAAACCAGAAATTGCTGCAGCGCTCCCAGAGAAAGCTGATTCAGCCTCTCGAAGACGTCTTCTTATTGTGGGCCAGGTCATATTATTAGCTTGCTTCAAAAGGACTTCCACCGGTCCTGATAACAGCTCCCTCAAGTTTGCCTGCATTTTATAGTTACATCATCATCAACCAAGTTCCTATGACAACTTTGTCAACAGACACTACATGGAATCTGTTACAACGTAAGCAATCAATGTCCTTAACAAAATTAACTTATCACAGTAGTAGCTCAACTTTTACTTTCTTTTGGAGCCGAATTCTGGCTCGGGTTGATGAAAACCAGTAACCCCAACTATTTCAGAAGAGAGAATGAACAAAAATATGCTATTATACCTCACAATGGTCCTTTATCATGTCGGCATGAACTGAAGCAACATGGGCTTCTATATCACGTCTAAGTTTATCCCTTACTTTAGATGTGTCCCAGTTTGCTTGTTTGATAATAGCATCTGCATAAATAATTAATGTGTTAATCTCATTGTAACTTACGGAGCAAGTAAGTAAAACACATACTAATGACGCCAATTAAAAAGGCCTATTTGTAGGATTGTTTAATGTCTTAAACTCACTGAGGTGATCTTGTAGGATTACAAGGACTCATTGTTTATCAAGAACTCAATCCTTATCTCGACCAGCAGTCTTAGTGAAGGCTTAGGGATTCCTTGTTCTATATGGATTGGGACTCAATGTTCTATTGCATTAAGGTTATCTCTTGGAATTTCTTGATGGGCAAGACCTCTGAACCGATGAACACTCAAGCTTATACAGATATTCACCCCATCTAGAATTAGGGCATAAGGCATCGGCTTCTAGGAGAAGATCCCTCTATCTCTCTCGTCCACTCTATTCGACTCTATGGCTGAACAAGGTTAGTGTCTTTGGTTTTATAACTTATTAAGTATTACAAGTTGTATCAGAGCTTAAGTTATATTATCTCCTACCTAACTAGGTTTTCGTTGCAGCAATAGTTAAAAGCTTGTAAAACTGAAAGCTTGATAATGTATGCAGGAGAATTTTGGCATGGCAACAGTATGAAGCTATTATTTTGTCGTGGCAAGAAAGATCCATGATCGTTGTTTGCAAACATCATGCAGTGTATTATTAAGTGATCCAAAGCAACTCAATACATTGCAATATCTATGCACTCAAAGATTCATGATCAAACTTGTGCTACAGAAAATAGATGATGAATAACTTTCTGTCCAAAGATGTGAGTAATTCATCATGCAATTGACTGTAGTAGCACAACATGGGAGATGGAGCATACAGACTAGCAGGAATTTTTCTTCTATCCAAGGATGAGGAATCTTTCTATGGCTGAACAAGGTTAGTGTATTTGGTTTTATAACTTCTTAAGTATTACACTATTATCTTGTGATCCATAATTGACTAATTGGCAGGAAGTCAGCTTGTACGTAAGATGTGTTTGAATGTACAAGGATAAATTTCAATTTTTCTTCTGACTTATCTATCTTGGCTTCATGGTTTTGAAGGGTTTCTTCTATTATGTATTTCAGTTTTTGCATTTTATCCTTGAGCCAATTTTGGCTAAAGGAATGCCATTCTCAAAACATACCTGCACAGCCTTCGTCAAATTGAGCCATGAAAGACTCGGTGAAATTACGAGCAGTCACAGAAAATCCCTTGATGACCCCGTCCAAGGCCTTATCAAATGCTTCCTTGAACTTATCCAGAGTAGAAGATCTTTTAAGTTCCAGCTGATCTTGGAATGCAGGTTGAACTAGCTAATAAGACAGCGAAACCAATCAATAATAGAAGAAAGATATGTAAATCGAATTGATAATTAAAATTGATAATTTATGTCAAATCAGTTCAACTACTGTGATGCACTCGGAAGGCCTTGGAAGGCCGCCTCACTGTAAAATGTGTACATCCCTGATCAACATGCATGGCAGATTAGAGGATGAGTCATGACAGAAATTGTATCAACCACAATCAAAGGAATAACAAACACAATTTGGTCTTTGAGGCAAAATTTTCTGTAAGTCCAAAACCGTTAAGTCTTGGTTGCATTGCTATATTTCAGCCATCTATAGCACGAGGAAAGAGGGGGGGCAAGGAGAACAATGTGTAATATATGGTTCGACAAGAATGATGTCGAGATTCATTACTTGCAGCAATTTTTCTTCAAGCTGCTTGCGCTTCACGGATTTGGCACCTTCATCATAATGTGTAGCCTCTTCATCATACCTAGAATTGTAAAAACGAATTAAACTAAATATAAAGAACTATTCAACCACATAAGGCAAAAGGTGAGAAATATAATCTTATCGTGTAGCCTACAACAAGCTGAGAAATATAAGTGAAAGATACGTACTCCGATATACAAGTATCAATCATTGAACTCAGCATCTTTCCAAAGCCACCAGGATGAACTGAGATCACTTTCAACTGAATCCATTCCTGTGATAATTCCAAAGCAATTCAAGGTCATCCAACTAGAATTGAAGAAGATGGAAAATATGGCAACATATGAAAAACAGGTACCTCATTTGCTGCAAAAGCAGAATACTTCTCATTGGCAATCTCTTCACAACGTACAGTAGCCACCATGACCTGCAATGGAGGAGTTATGGATGACTTGTTCAAATTTACATAAATATATCGTATTCACAGTTTTACCTTGATGGAAGGAATATCAAGATCTCTGTCTTTTTTTATTTTTTCCCAAATTTCCCGTAAACTCAAAGAAAATCCTGAAGCGGGAACTACCGCCTGTCGATCTCCAGCAAGTTTATTATGATGGAAGAATTTCTGCCTCATGCAAGCAACCTTTCATTCAAAAACATAAGTTACATAAATTTGACACAAAAAAGGGCAAACCTGCACAAGATGCATAAACTTGAACACTAGGAGGCATTTTAGTATAAAAAATAGAAATGGGACAATTGGTTTCTTGAGGCAGAAACTGGAATGCAACAAAAGATGAGAGAGGAGATGGCAAGGGGCAAATGACAGAGAACAGAAATTTTTTTTAAGGTAGTCGACGAAGTGTTAATGAAATAAAATATGCAGCAACATTTGAGAAACCCTGCAACACCTGCCTAGTTATTTTCTTCGTTTTCTTTTCAGGAAAATCTTGTATGGTCCTTCTTATGCATCAAGATAACTTATTCGTATTCCATGAACAAAAAAGATGAGATATTCAATTTGACATGGTGGTGCCCTCATAGCACATATGCATACCTCCTCTTTAAATTTCTCTTCTTTGTCTTCATAATTTGAAAGCGCAACAACCTCAACCTAGCCATTTAGTCATAAATATAACACATTGTCAATCAATACACATGATTGATAGTTTTCACCACAGTAACATCAAATAAACATGAAATCTTATCTGTCATATAAGCATGACATCTTACATTGAAAAATTCACTCAGTGAAGTTTCCTTGTGGGCTTCAGGCTTAGGAGCAGACTCCCATATCTGCATTAAAGGTGAGACGGGGTTAACAAACAACAACACTAAAAGTAAGGCAACAACAAATAAAGCACCAAATTAGTTAACCTTCTGAATGTCGTTCCGAAGTTCGCTTTCTAAATTCTTCAGTGGCGTCTACAAACAAAAAAAGCATAACTATACTATAAAAAACTCAGCCTAGAGTGGAATGGCCTTATACCAAGGAAGGAAACGATGCAACAGACTACCAAAATGAATAACAAAGACAAATACAAATTGGTTCCATCTCAAATCACAGAGAAATACTAAATGAGAAGAAGGAACCTTTGTCTTATCACGGATGACAAAGATCAGGGTTGTCTTATGAGGCCCAAACAATCGCATCATCACCTGTTAACAAATTCAAGCATAAAGTTCAAGAAATCAAGCCTCTGAAATTTGTAGGGTGGAAGAACATACCTGGAACACAGTGTTTAGGAGAGTCTTATTTGAAGCGTGCTCACGGCCAATGTCATGGCACCATCTACACAAAAATTGCTAAAGAAGATTACTCACAGAGACGGGAAAATATTACAAATCCAAACAGTCAATAAAGAGGGGTAAAAGAAAAACCCTACATGTTAATGAGCACTACATCTGCAACAGAAAGGGCAAAAAGAGTACTCTGCTTCTCGAATGCTGTATCCTGTAAATAAATAACCAAATTCCAATTATGTAGATTGCAACCATGACAAGCAATCCTGATAGAGTTATTGACGAATACATTTTATTATCCAGCAAAGGATTCGCGTGTTGGCTATGAACAGAAAACTTGGTAATGACAATAAATTTAAGCATGGCCATAAATTTAAAAAAATTGATGATGAAAACTAAAAGCACCTCTCCTCGTTCTTTCCCATCTGTACCCTCCATGTCCATAACAAGAGTAAAAGTGTGAATGGTGGGACATTTTGCCACCCAAATACCTTTTGTTGTTTGAGACCTGGAATAAAAGCATATCCCATCATATTCACGGTCACTAAGAGAAAACATAACACAACTAAGTTGTCATTTTGAGCATTATGAGAGAACTTGCCTTCCTTTATCGGCGTCCATTTCTTTAAAGTTGGTGTGAAATAAATGGTTCAGTAGTGTGCTCTTTCCTGGACAGATAATTAGTATTAAAAAGACATTGTCATATATCAGATGAGAAAACAGAGAATGACCAAAAACATATCGTAATTTGTAAACCCTGCTCCATCTGATTAAGCTTCAAAACAGTAGCAGAATTTCAAAAACTTTGCTTCATCTTATTCACCAGAGTGATATTTTTGTGAATCCTCAACCAAGTCAGAAATGAAGATTAAAAGGTAAGTAAGAATGCATACCACTACTTTGTGGGCCGACAATGGCGACAACAAGATAAGAAAGTCCAACTTTAGCAAACTCTGTGAATTTTGCAAACTTTTCAAGTCCGTTGACATTGAACTCTCTGTCACCACCAACGAGCACAGTAGAGCAGCAGCCATCACCGCTCACCGGAGAAGAAAATGCTGAAATACGGTAGATAGGGATAATCAAACAAAAGCAAGATCTCTAGAGAGGGTGCGGTCAACGTGAGACAGGTCGACCCTTCCTTTTTACGAAATTGTCCCCTTAATTACTATTAATTACTTGTGTTTTATTATCGTCCCACGTCATATTTTTAAATTCTGAAGTGAAAAATTAAAAGAAAACTTGATCATCTCATGGCTGCCTCGTCCGCTGCTCCATACTATCCGGTGAGGCTGCTGAAGTGTGCGACCTAACAACAAAACCAACTAGTTAATGGCGACCCATTACCTGCGCCGCCACCGGCGAGGTCGCCGGAGTAAGCTCTGATCCGGCGAAGTGGCCAGATTCCGATTTGATCCTGGCGCCGTCTTCATTTTTAAACGCAATGCATATGCCTTGTATCAAACTGCTGAATTATATATCTTTGCATGTGTAATAAACCCATGCAAGAGAAAAAATTAACAAAAACTTAAAATTATGAGATTTTTTCTGTAAAGGAGGTGAGAAGATGGAGGGGGGGCTGTAACAAGACGACTAAGCCTATTCGCCCTACAAAGAGGCCGCCTTCGGGACTGCTTAACAAGGAAGACAGACTGTCACACGGCCTAAGAGAGACAGACTGTCACACTTCCTTGAACCTCTCATCACACTTCCTTGAACCTCTCATCACCTTCCTGACCGTTTGGAAATAGCCATGGAAACTTCGACTTCCTTGAACCTCTCGTCACACTTCCTTGAACCTCTCATCACACTTCCTTGAACCTCTCGTCACTGATGAGAACCTTCGACTGGACTATTCCCTCGTGCTTCTCCCTTTAGGGGTGAAAACCTTCCTGACCGTTTGGAAATAGCCATGGAAACTTCGACTTCCTTGAACCTCTCAGCACACTTCCTTGAACCTCTCATCACATCACTGATGAGAGGTATTTATATATAATATATATACTAGTTAATTAGTGTAACGCGCATCAACCGAAAGCATATGAATGAGGATCGATTGATCAAAGGAAGTAAAAATAGCATGATCATGATGTAATTAAGAACAGTAGGGTATATAAAGACTCACCATTTCCTAATAAAGAGTTGCTCTTGTTTGGATGAGTAGTGGCAGCAGCATCCATGGCGATTTACAAATGTGAAGGGTTCAACTCTTGGGCTAGGAGAGCTTCTTGGCGAGAGCTTGGTTGCACTTGCCCTGCTAATGAAATAACGTGGGTATGAAACGACAGAAATTGCATTGGCCCCAGCTGACAAATTAAGTCCAGCTTTTCTGTCTTCATTGGCCCCAGCTGACAAATAGATCTAACAACAGGAGCAACATGTTTGCTGCACAGACAGACCACTAAAATCTTGCCACCTCACTAGAACATCAGGCACACTTTTGCTCAACACGCAGTGGCAATGGATCCTTTTTCGGGTTTGTCGAAATTTTTTAATCTTGTGATCAACCCATGTCGAAATTTTCGGGCTCGGCTTGAACAATTTATTTGTTTATTTTTTGTTATTTTGATTTGATTAACTTGCCTTAATTTATTTTCTTTCTTTTGTGATGATTATTGACTTGCTTGCCTTGGTGGCGTGGTCTGTGTGGTGGCATGCTGTAACTATAGTTACTATACAACGAGGGTACAGAATATTGGATTGGACTGGACAGATTTTTATCCCATGTTTGTTTTCACTTAGTACTAATTTTAAGTGGGACTGTTAATACTGGCCCCACCAAAAACACCTCCTTAGGTGTTCTTAGCGAGACCCGAGTGGAGAGAGGGGACAAGCTAGTCCCAACCCAAGCGCTTGCAACAACCAAGCCCTTGCCGCTAGACCTGACAATATTGCACACGACCCGTTAACACGACACGAATTCGCACGAAATTATCAGTATTTGGGTTGAGCTTGATGGGTTGGGTTGAAAACAGGTGAACCCGTTAGCTACCCGTTAAGCTAACGGGTTGGGTTGGGTCAATTCGCGAATGTTCGCATCCATCCGTTAAGGAGGGTAATTTGGTAGTTAAGGATCGTGTCGGATATTCGCGAATTGTAACGGGTCGTATTTGGGTCTAGTATTTGTCACCGGTTAACTTAACGGGTCGTGTCGTGTTAACCCGTTAACTTAATGGGTTAACACGAACACGACCCGAAACCCGTTAATACGACCCATTTGCCAGGTCTACTTGCCGCAACGATCGACCACCCAAGCGCCTTCCACAACCACCGACCACCCAAGCACCTGCAACCGATCCAAACCCCCACCGTCACAGCCACAAGCAGTGACCCCCAATACAACATCGCAGTCAGTTCCAGTCAGTTTCGGCGAGCACCGATTGGAGATAATGACTTCGCAGCTTGAACTATGGGCTGTGGACACAACGATTGTGCAACGATGGCGAATGTGAGACGATGATGACTGTGCAAGCAGAGGTAGAAGTAGAAGACAGAGTATATTGAGAAGAAGCAAAGAGAAAATTTTCGGGAAAAAAAAAGGAACAGAGAAAAAATTTCGGAAAAAAAACCAAAGAGAAACATATATTGAGAAGAAGGGGCAAAGGAGAGAGGATGGAGAAGAAGAAGAGCAGAAGAGGAGAAGGAGAGAGAGGATGGAGAAGAAGAAGCAAGTCGCGGGAGGAAGAGAAAAGAAGATGCAGAGAGAGAAGAAAAGTAAAAAAATAATATTAAATTCACTTTAATATGTTTTTAAAAATTAAAAAAAATATATATACTCATAGTCCAAACATACACCAAATGAAAGACATTGTTATCCAGTTTAGGCCAGCCCAAACTAATTGAAGACGGTCCCTAATTATAGTCTATGCCAAGACAATCTTTCGTACTAAACGAGCCCTG